ATAAATGACTAGTCATCTCAGTCTTTTGAAAGCAAGACTTAAGAGATACTTAAAAGCTTTTTGGACCTGCTTAAGTCAATCACATTGTTGTAATGAAAAACTCTTTTTTTTGTTTTATTCCTTAGAGAGTGATTATGATGTGCATTCTCACTCTCTCTTCCTGGCAACTCTTATGAAATATAATATTTCTGGTTTACACAACAGCTTTTTAAAGGAAACTAAGTACTTTCACAAAATGAACAGTTGGTAAGACTAAAATGATGGCAGAGAAACGTAAAACAGCACAGAAAAAGGAAAAAAATATTTGGTTGGGAAAACTCTCAGCATTACATACTCTTGACATTTTAAACTGGCATGTTTTATATACCGTAGCATTCAGCAAGTTTGGATGTGCAAGGCTACTTTCAGCGTCTTGCATGACAATGGTATTATTGTTTGATTTCTTTCTCATTTATTTTTCAAAATTCATAGTGAAATATGTGTAAAATGTGTCTAGAAAATGTGTCCACAGCAGTGCCTTTCTTTCCACCTGTAAGAATATTAGAAGAACTTTCAGTTCAATATTTGTCACTTCATCCCCCTTTTTTGATTGTAAACAAAGAGCATTTTATTTAGCAGTGTTGGACACATGAAGTACAGATATCTTACATATAGAATGCTAGTTTGCTAGTTTGTGTTTATTTAATCACTTAAATACTTTGCTTGATACTGCTTCCAACATATTCAAGCAGATTCTGACATGAAGCATGGTAACAGATGTTCTATATAGGTGACATTTCATCACAGCAAATTAGCTTCCTTGTTGTTTTAAGACTTGCCCTTATGATACCTCCACACTGCAGACAGGGTAAGAAACAGCAATTTTTAGTGGCAACAGTTCTTTCATTAGCATTTGCCTAACAAAAAGATAGTTTGTCTTAGATTTTTTTTTAAGCCAAGTAATATTGCTGCATCATATTCATCTATTGCATGAGATCAACCTGAGTCAAAAATAAGAAATCAGAAGAGTACATACCATAACACATGATCTGACAAAGTTTTATGAAGAGAATATTTGTCCTACCTACTGTAAGATTTAAACTATTCAGCGCCTCAAACCAATTTTCATTACTGTGAATAAACAATAATAAATGCTTTCAAGAATAATGCTAAATTGTGTGAAATATTAGCTGTCTAAAGTCCTTTTTATAGGGGAGTTTTTGAATTGTTTTGAAAAAAACTTCAAATAGGTGTTGATAGTGTGTTTGTAATGTTTGCAAAAGGATACGAATAATACTTGAAATTCCAATGCAATACTAGTAATGTTTAGGGACTAGAACAGGCTATCATGTGAAAAGTACAATGTGTGGCACTGGACAATCCTGTTAGAATCAAAGTAGACTCATTACTGAAAATGAAAGTGTGTTTGTTCTCTGAGTTTGACTTTTAGAATTATTTTTCCATGCACTCCTCAAATTTCCTTGTGTATTTCTCAGTTAATATGCCTGAAGTTCACTTCTCAATTATATAATGTGTTAAAACCCAAGGGAAAGATTGTGGCATGAGACAGCGGCTTGAATGAGGTGCTGATATTGTTTACAAGTGTTTTGCTTTTGAAGAGTGTTTCTGAAATTAGCCTGAGTGTACCTGTGAAGATAAGCCAACAATGACATTTTTGCATAAACCGTTCGCTCTATTTGTGAATGTCTAAAATATTCCATAATCTCAGGAGAGAATAGTGCCATTTGACATGACACAGTCATTAATATTGTCAAAGCACCGAAGACAGATCTCCAGCAATATGCTAATAAAAACCTGAGGAAGACTAGAAGTGCTTGTCAGTGAATAAAAAAGATTCTGTCAGCAGCCTTCTGCTGGCATACATAGATGCCGTATTCATTAAGGAAGAAAAATTATTAGCTGTTTATAAAGACCATTTCAAAGAATAAAAAATGCTGTGATAGCCAAGTTATAAGATAGCAGGCAAACTGTCAACAACAGGCACTATAACAGGAGGTGGAGATGGAAAGGAATAAGGCGGCAACATGTGTGCAAAAAGGATTCCAGTGCATTTGCATGAGAGATGATATCAGAAACTGTTTTTATATCCTGCTGCCATAGGACTACTCCTTTACACCTTTCAGAGGGAGACACCCCTCCATATTTTTCCCATGTGTCATTAACATTTCAAAATTATTTTTGTGTATCAATATAATGGATCATATAATCACCAAGAGTGTCTACCAGGCTACTCCATGTAATTTGGTTACCAAAGTAATTTCCTCCTAGAACAGGGAAGTTATCTAGTGCTGGTCAATCTGTTCCATGGTTCTTTTGTTATCACACACTGTTTATGGATAAAAAATTAGCTTGTTTTATTAAATTAAAGAGATAAATATTCCAAAATTCAAAACAGAATTATGAAAACAGAAAACACATTGCCTATGTACGAGCACTTATCTGCATCCTCACATGGTGTTTTTGCTGTCTCTCCTAGGACAACATTCAACCATGAGAGATGCAGGCTGGTTCAAATCAACTTTTTATCTCAGCTTTCTACAGAAGTTTGTTCAGTGTGCTTTTGAATTTTCTGAACTGTGTTGATTCCTACCGCATATCCCAGACTAGTCCAGTCTCTGTAGTTTACACAGCTCTGCTAGTAAGTTGCAAAACTTTAAAAGATGTGTTAAAATGAAAGTCTTTTAGCACTGTGCGTGCCCACTTATCTCTAGCAGATCATAAAATTATAGAATCACTTAGGTTGGAAAAGACTTTTAAGATCATAGAATTCACTGTAAACCTGTAAGTGCCAAATCCGCCACTAAAACACATCCACGTCTTTTAAATACCTCCAGAGATGGTGACTCCACCACTTCCCTGGGCAGCCTGTTCCAGCGCCTGACTACCCTTTCAGTGAAGAAATTTTTCCTAATATGCAATCTAAAGCTTCCCTAGCACAACTTCAAGACATCTCCTTTGTTCTACTTCTTGTTATTTAGGAGAACAGACCAACCTCTACCTGGCTACACCCTCCTTACAGCTAGTTGTAGGGAGTTCTAAGATCTCCCCTGAGCCTCCTTTTCTCCAGGCCAAACACCCCCAGCTTCCTCAGCTGCTCCTAAGACTTATGCTCCAGACTCTTCACCAGCTTCATAGCTCTTCTTTGGATGCACACGAAGAACATACCAGGCAGAAACAACATCAAGCAGCTTTGAGACTGGTTCTGCCTTAGCTGTGGGAAGCCTCCCTGGCCTTTCTGCAGGCACTCCTGCCACCAG